AGTGATTGTACTCTGAGATAAAGTTTACATTTTCTAGGAGAAGGTCATTATTATAATTCTTATATTCCTGAAAACATATTACAAAATCTTTCACTTTGTCAAACAAAGAATGAAAGATGGTTGATATAGACAAAGTTGAATTTCTTAACATTTTTGGCTCACTATTTCTAACAAAAATCCACAATAATATCAGAAATAGGTGATAATAAATATCAGCTGGAGCTGTTAAGAAGTAATACTAACAGATGGGTAAATGCAACAAGGAAATAACCTATTTACAGTCAGCATGCAGCAAATGTACAGGTGCTAAAACAAACTTGTATACATTTGATTCATCCACTGTGACAAGAAGGTAAATCATTCTTTACAAAGGTCTTAAATAACTGATGTGCAGTTTAGTTTAGTCTGGAAGCCAGAAATTTTGAGTGGCAATGCAGCTTTCAGGAAGATGTTCTTGGAAAACGTGCTGCGTTTACACAACTCAAGGCTACAGTGACAGTTTGGTTTACATTACCACTTTCATGGGACCAGCTCACTCAGAATGATTGATCAGTCTCATATAAGTACTTCAAGTAAAACATTTAAAAAGGTTTACTGAATGTAGTAGACATTTTCAGCTGTTTTTCATTTGAAGGGGGGGGAAGCGCCTCATTTTTCATGGGGTCTAAAATGAGCACAGCATACATCTGTGGGTGTGGGAGGGGCTACTGGAAATAATTCATCAATGATGGCAGATTTCCAGATTTAATTGATTTTCAGTAACAACTCCAATTTGTGCTAAATGTGCTGCCAACAGCTGATTCTTAAAAGTAATTTAATTCAAGGGTGGACCGATTGGGTTCACATTCACAAGACTGAGACACCGAAAAAGAGAAAACTAAACTTCTCCATGTCAGCAACAGCTTTGATCATCTCAGCAGACCCCCTGATGTGAATTTAAGAGGACATCAGAGCAACATGAAGTGGTTACAGCAGGCTCAAAGTGTTTAACACAGTTGTCAATACTAATTATTTTAAAGAGCTGAAATATATATTTTTTTCTTATGAAAATTAAATTATTTTGGCCTTTTTAAAGAGTAACTTCTTTCTCCTTTGACCTTGTAAAATACTTAATTTCTTCTTGAAATGGCAATTTTTGACTTCATGGGGGTTTTTTCACTTGTAATATTTTGATCCTTTTCCTTGTAAAATTAAAACTTTAGTCTCATAACTTTTTCCGATTCCCATCAAATCAAAGCTTCTTTCTCAAAGTATCAGTGGTCCAAACACTCCAGGTGTAAAAATCGAAATAACAAGCACTTGTAGTTGCAGCTATAGCGGGCAGCTGGCAGAGGAGAGGGACGGGGACGCCTGCTTATCGATACAACTCAAACTCACACTTCTCCCTCCATTACCTCGAACCTTCGCTCCCCTCTGAACGTTAGCTGCCAGTGACATCGCTGATGATAAATAGAAAAACATAAAGTGGATTCCATTCGTTTGAGTCCGTTCAGCGTGTCTGACCTCCTCTGTCCATGGAGGCGAGAGGAGATGGTGACTTTTCACTCCACTCTGGGCTCTGTATTGCACTCAGACAATCTGTTTTCTGTTCTTTTTTAAGAACCATGTATCCTCTGCTGAATTGAGCTCGGTGCAAACTGTTGGTCATAACCCTTTAAATCTGTACCAGTGTCTCTTTACAGAGGCGGCACGCTTTCAGCTTTTAAATAACACACACACACACAGAAGCTGGTGGGAAGAAGTGTGTGTGTGTGTGTGAGGGCAGCATTGCATTGATACTGTAGCAAGATGAACAAACAGGTTTGGAAGAGTTCCTGCTGACCACACGTTTAAAAATGAGGTGTTCTTATTTTTTTATTCACATGATTTTGTTGTTTATTGACGGAACATATTGTGTTTGCCTGCCATTAACCCAGCTGCTGCTGCAAGAGACATGCAGCTGCTTAACCCTGAAGAATGATCAGAATTTCTGCAGCAACTCCTCCTAAAACATGCTCCGACGTTCATCTCAGTAACACACACTTCTCGTGCCTTTCTTTTAAACAGAATCTCTCAGTGCAGGCTTGAAAAAAGTAGCTCCTCTGACTATGTTGAACCTCGTTTAGCAAGAACAACCTCCATGTTTCCTAACGCTGTTTCTGATGGTGCCTTCACACCAAAAGCAAAGAAAAATTTCATGCTGGACAAACGTTTCTGCAAAACATCTTCTAGAACTGGCTGTGTTTTCATCACATGCCGTGAGGCTTCATATTTCTGTGACGTCATCATTAAACAGCAGTCTTTGTGTCTCGCTAAAACACCTCAGGCTAAGATCAGATTTTTTGTTATTATTTTGCCATATCAACCTCATTGTGGACTGCTGCACTGATATTCTCTTCTAAATGTGTAGAAGAGAAAAATACCAAAATTTATTTCATACCTCAGTAGTGGAATAAAAGTACTTAGTTACATCAGAGCCCTTGTAGATTTAAGTCTTGGCACCTCTTTAATAATCCATTTAATTTGAAGTCCCCATCTGAATTTGCTTTTCCCCAGATATAAAAACCAGTCACCAGGCAAGACAAATAAACACCGCTTTAAAACTTTGGTGACTTCGCCCAGTTACCCTGCAGTTATCTTTGCACTGTGCATGCAGCATGCATCTGTGTCCAATATGTTTTTCCTATGTAGCTCTAGGCAGATGACCGGCCCTCCTTAGTTTGGTTCAGCTGGAGGTTTCTTCCTGTTAAAAAGGAAATTTTCCTTCCCACCATCATTTCTTGTTTGCTCATAGTGGAGTTTTCTCTCTAATATTGTCGGGTTTTAACAGTATAAAGTAACTTGAGGTGACTGTTAAGATTTATTCATCATGCCCTCTGTAGTAGACAAAAGTTAAACTGAAAGATACTTTTCCCCCTCGGATATAGATGAAACACAACTTTGTAAATTGTTGATTGGCTCTATGGGCTTAGGAGCAGAATTCATAACTCTCACATTTCTGTTTCTATATTCTCTGAATGCCGTCACTTTTCCTGGATGTCACATCTGGTTACGTTGTAGCTGAATGAGAAATTATCCAAAAAAAGAGAGACTGATGAGAAGAGAGAGGGAAAAAAACAAACACCTTCATTGCATTATTGTCGTACGTTTCTTCTTCAGGGCATCCAGCAGCCAAAACCATGTTGCTCCCTCCACTGTGCTTCAGTTGGGATGATTTGTTGAATGTCCAAGATGTTTTACACTTTTTGTTTTTTGTAAACAGCATCTATCTGTTAAAAGATTTCTTAATTGCTGACATTGGACACTTTAAACAAAGGTTGTAGTCATTTTAGATGTTTCTGTGTTCGTTTTGTAGACAGTTTGTCTTAAATGATGCATGTCAGTCAGCAGCTGTGATTGAAGAAAGGGGAAAAACCCCATCGTCAGTTTGTGCCTTTTAATAGGAGCTGCATCTCTACAAACCACACACACGGCTCCATACAGAAACACCTGAAATTACGAGTTTGTGTGTGTTACTTCAGTCACACCGCGTTTGTCTGCAATTGTGACTGAGATGAAAGTCGGAGCACGTTTTGAGGAGTGGGTGCAGAAGTCGTGCTGTTTCTTACGGGTTAATCGCTGATGTCCTGCAGCCGTGGTCCTGCCCGCGCTCACGGCCCCCTCCCCCCCCCAAAGTTAAGTGTACATGAGGGTGCAGCGTATGTATATACAGTGAAAAAGAAAGTTTATTTTTTAAAACTTGTACATTTTTTTGAGCAATCTGATGTTTGAAAATGTTTTATTTTTTATGATGGGTGGGCGGGTGTGAAGCTTTGAGAAGCGCGTGCCGTGGGTAAACCGGCAGGAAGCGCGCACGAGACAGAGCCTCGCACCTTCCGGCTTTCAGAGCTGGCTGTAAAGACAAACAAACGAAAGTAAGAGAGAGGAAAGGGAAAATGGGGGGTTTCTTTAAGGGCATTGGCAATAAGCTATACCGTGTGTTGCAGCTATCTGTACAGAAACACTTCATTAGTTTCTTTCTTTTAGATTCCAAACTCGTGCAGCCTCACACAGCAGCTGCTTCAGACTCGGAAAAAAACGAAAAACAAGGAATGTTCTAAACATGTTTTCTCTCTTTGGTTGTCGTCTGAGATTCGTTTTTAAAAACCAAATGTAAATAGAGTTGTAAATACGGTGCTCTTTCTCTTTATCTAGAACAGCCGAGTGAACCTTTTGGTGCATAGCTGTACAGTAATCTAGCCTTATGATAATTACTGTAGTAATACCGTATGGGTGTCTCAGCTAAAAATAAAGCTGCGTGAGGAAAAACGATCCGATTCTGTTCATACCGTCGAGTCTGTTTGACTGTTGTCTTACTCAGCTGTATCCAGGTGAATGACGTGCATGTGTTTCAATGTTTGACATTCAATGACACTGAGGAGAGGATCAGGCAGAAATGTAACCGGACCAAAAAGCAACAGAAGAAGAAGAAAATGGTTGAGTTGGAACTGACAAATTTTCAGTGTATTATTCTGTAGTTGATACCTGTTGTCAGATGTTACATATAGCTATGGTAATATCAAAAAATAAAATGTGGAAAACTGTCTGTTACACTCAAGTCTCCGGGTCTTTCTTTTTAAATCATCTGTCCTGACCAGTTTGGC